TGCCTCCAGCAGCGCCTCTGAGTTGCTGCAGCCTCTTTCATCCTTCTTGAACCATTGTGCAACTAACATGTACACATACAGATATAAATCAAATTACTGTATGATGTGTTCTATGTGACCTGAGAGTTCATATTTGTAGTAATTAAAATTGGATAAAGGAGCCTGTATTTGCTGGCTACCGAGGGAAAGGGCACTACTTTCAAATTGCAGCTGACACTGGGGAAAGACGCAACCATGTCTGTTTCTGACATAGCATGCTCACCACCTTGTTCCCGGGTCTGCCTCCTTCATCTGGTTACCTGGTGCCTCATCTGCCTGGTCTTGGGCCCAAGAATGTCAGGCAGGTCCCCACAGCCAGGGAAACTCCTTGCTCTCTGAATGCCTTCACTTTCAGCAGATGTCCAGGAGCCTGACTTCATTTGCTACAGGTTTGGTTTAGTTTCATCAAAAACAGAGATTTGGACCCGGGAAAAGTCTGCAGAGGAAGAGGTGCCAGGTTCCTAATAAGTACTCAGTAAGGCGGCGGGGAAGATGGCGGACGGGAAGGCGGGAGAGGAGAAGCCTGAGAAGCCGCAGCGAGCCGGAGCCGCCGGAGGACCTGAAGAAGAAGCAGAAAAACCTGTGAAAACTAAGACTGTTTCTTCCAGTAATGGAGGGGAAAGTTCCAGTCGCAGCGCTGAAAAGCGATCAGCTGAAGACGAAGCTGCAGACCTCCCAACAAAGCCTACAAAGATGTCCAAGTTTGGATTTGCCATAGGTAGTCAGACGGCAAGGAAAGCATCCGCCATCTCCATTAGACTCGGAGCAAGTAAGCCTAAGGAAACAGTTCCAACTCTTGCTCCAAAAACTCTTTCGGTGGCAGCAGCTTTCAATGAAGACGAAGACAGTGAGCCAAAAGAGATGCCTCCAGAAGCAAAGATGAGGATGAAGAATATTGGAAGGGACACACCAACATCAGCCGGACCAAACTCCTTTAATAAAGGAAAGCATGGCTTTTCTGATAACCAGAAGCTGTGGGAGCGAAATATAAAATCTCATCTTGGAAACGTCCATGACCAAGACAATTAAGTGAAGAGTTCTGAGATTGGGGTGTGGGTGGGTGCAGTTAGAAGGAGCAGTCTCCTTTTTGTAAAGAATGGTGTAAGACTAGCTTTGGAGCCGTTTTTCTTTCTTCTTTTTTTCTTTTCCTTTTTTCTTTTTTTAAAAGATTGAGTGGTACACTAATAAATGAGAGTTTGCAATTAGAGGTAATTTATGTTTTATATACAGATTTCAAGACATTTGCTAATTTTGTAGTTTCACATGATTAGTTTCCAAGGTTACAGATAATAAAGAAATCAGAAGTGGTACCTTTCTAAGAATTGCATATTTTTTTAGATACAACTATTAGCACATTAAGAGGGAAGCCAAAAGTTA